CACTTCATTTTGACTGTTGGAGTAATTGTGGGGTGGCGTGGTCTTTGACGCTAAGAGGTATAGACTTGCATATGGACTTTCAGACGTTAATGCACCGTCCACGTCCACCATTATGGTCGGCTGATAAAGCACTGATTCTCTCCTGCATTGTCTGAGGCTTCTTTGGTCATCGACAGTATTCCCTAATTTTCGTAATTACATGTTTTCCTAGCCCTGCTTCAACTTCCGTTTAATCCGAGCTTGCAGAGATGAAAATATTCCACCGGGTCGGTCTTGTCTCTCTTTATCCTCCTTCGCTTCCCCAGATCCCTATCCTTTCCAAACTCTGTTTCTTCTGAGATCCTTCTTTTTGCTTGTTTTAGTAATACCACCTTGGTGGGCACGAATATGCGTTTGGAATGCTGCCTCGTCCGTCATACATCTCCTGTCGTTTTCGTGATTTGCCACCTGTTGTGCCTTCCTGTCGATGATCTCATCAAACGTTAGCCCACCGCGCTTCAGTCTGTAGTCACTACCAGTTTTAAATGCCTCATATATACGCTACTTCTATGTACTGTATGATTCGGCGTTTATCAAACATGACAAACTAGATCTAGTTTTTCATCACAACATTGGGCGCAATCCATGCCTACCTTCTTTGATCTTCTTTTGATTTTGAACCAGATGTGGCCGACACGTTTCTCCTATGATCCCCAGTCGATGTCTTCCCTCATTCCGCTCTCCGGTGCCGTTCCAACCCACAGCTTTTTCAACGGCCCTTCCTGGTCTGACTTTGGCTTTTGAGACTCCCATGAAGAAGGTACCTGCCCATTTGTGTCGGTGCCTGTTCCAGTTCTTCATAGATTTCTTCAACTTTCATCTCGTTAGCTGTACTTGTCGGAGCTGAGTTTGGACGATCTTCAAGGTCCTCTTCTTTATCAGTTGAAGGCACAACACACCCATTTCTTAATAACTTCACATGACAGGAGACAATTTGGCAAAACCACCTTTTACTTATTACAGATCCGATTCCTGTTGTGTTCTTCGCTCCCTCTCCTGTTACTGACCAAATCGAACTAACGTCTTTTCGTATGTGATCTATCTGCTTAAGCCATTGTGTCTCACAGAAGCAAAGTATGTGGCAGGCCATTGGTCACCTTTCGCTATTAGTTGGTTTAATATTTCATCGCTCTCGTGTTATACAGTTGTAGGTGTAAACGATGAAGGAAGTTCGGGTCCGTTTATCAGATGGTGGCCTTTCACCACCTGGGATTCTTAGCAGCCTGTCGTCAGTCGAACATTGAAGCTTCTTTGTGGAATGGGTAGAGAGACGCGTAGGGTAATGAGCTCATTTATTCGTGTTGTCATAGTGCATGAAGTTTTGCTACCTGCTGGCAGGGCTGACCGTGGCTTGGCGAATTTCGAACAGATGGCTCCCCAAGTTCAGTCTCCCATTTTATCGAAGTTCTGTCTCTTCCAACCTTTGACCAACCGATGTCTAACCGCAAGTCAGCAATGACATTGGCGGTTTTTTCTTCAAAGGGGCGGATTGTTTTCACCTCGATATGAAATTGTCATTAGGCACTGTGACTTTTTCCTTAGGTTTGAACTTGCAGAACTCGATCCTGGCCACGAAATGATGATCTCACCGTTGCCTACCCTCCACTGTTTATTTGTCGCTGCTAATTTCCATATAATTAGATAGTTTCCCTGTCCGGAACCCAAGGACGCGTCAGATGGCCAGCATCTTGGCTCATTAAGTGTTAACTGATAATTTTTCTAAACTATAGATTGATCTCTTTCGATCTTTATGACGATGACCAAACATTGCG